ATGAAAAAAAAAACAAGGTGCAGAAGAGTCTACGTGGCATGCTACCTTTCGTGGGAGAAAGTGAGGCAGGATAAGGAAGTATCTATATTCTAAATTACTCAGACACATCTTTGTACAGTTTTGATGTAAAGTAGGATATTTAAGCATTTATCCAGGGGCCACGAAAAAAAAATCTCTCAGCAGGTACCACCACGCCGGGTAACACAACAGTACCAGCCATACCCCAGACTGCAAACAAAATACAAAAGCTTCCCAAGAGACAAAGAGGCAGGGAAGCCTTCATTGGGATGGTGTGGATTGAGGTTTTGTGAACATGAAATGCGTATCACGTGAGAAGCTGTAATTACACACACACACACACACACACACATGCACACACACACACATGCTCACCGCAGCCGAAAGGGGGAGACTATAATTTGGTGAAGATCTCTCATTTTGTTCCTGGAGAAGCAAGTCATTAGAGCTGATAACGCTGTGTAAATGTTCGTGTCCACTGACAGTTTGCTCAAGCATTTGATATACGCCACGCCTCCTACCAGCCAGCACCCCTTTGCAAATAAGTAATTATTTGATTGGAAGGCCCGAGCCCCTGTCGTGTCAACTCAGGGAGAGTTTTAAATATGATTTCCTGCATTAAGAGTTGCACTGGAGTCAATGTCAATATTGGAGGCTAATTAACAGCCCTGTTCAAATCTAACGCCCGGGCGCTGGAAGTTATTAGCTTTTTTATTCTGGGGCCAGTTCTTTAACCCTTTTAAGTGTTCTGTCCTTTTGCCTGAAAGTGGGACAAAGACAATATCTAATTTCCTAAACTAATGGGAGTTCAATGAATGAATGCATGGAAACTGCCCAGCAGTCCCTGGTGGAAACCAACATTTAATACATGCTCACTGTTCTCATTAATTTTCTGTCCATAGCCTTTGTCTGTATTTAAGTTCAAGTGTGTTTCTTTCTAAATGAGTTGTAACACGTTTCCTATATAATCAGTAAGGATATGAATCATTCACCTAAGATATAGGCAGTAAATATTTTCCCAGCTTTTCACTTGCCTTTTAATTTTGTTGTTCTTTTTCCAACATACAATAAGGCAAGTGTGTGTGTGTGTTTAAATAAAGTGCCAATTTTTCCATTTTCCTTTACAGTCCGTGTCCCCGCTGTTATATTTAGAAAGTCCTTCCCAGTTTTTTCTTCAACATCTTACAGTTTCACTTTCTGCAGTGAAATCTCTACTTCCCTTGAAATTCATCTTCGCAGGAGCTCTGAGAAAAGACCTTTTTTTTTTCTTCATGTTTAGCCAGTTGTAACAGCACACGTATGGAATGGCTCTTCATACACTCGTTCCTCATGTATCCTTTGGTTCACTTTTAAATTTTCTCTTATGCTCCACCGATTTCTCTCTATTCCTGCCCCAGTTTCACACGACTTCAATACATCATAGGTTTATAATATCTGAGCATCTGAAAGCATGCACTTTATAGCCAGCCACCCCTGCTCCACCATTACTGTCTGCTTTGAAAATCTTGATGGTTATTCTCACCTGCTAAATTTCCTGATTGTGCTGGAAATGCCAATCTTGGCCAACCCTATGTATTGTCCTTCTAGAAATACTTCCACCTACAGCATCAGCTCAGGGACAGTAGAGCATCTGGCCTCAGGCTTCCTGCCAGTGCTGAGTGGACCAAAGTTTGATCAGGGGCATGTTGTTTGTGAAAGAAGAACTAGGCCAATCAGAATTCAGAACAAGGTACAGTGCAACACTGGGAGCTGGGGCTGAGCTAAGGGGGTGGGTGGGTGGGGTGGGTGATGTCAAGTGAGGGTTGGCAGGGGCAAGAAGAGAGAAAGAGAGGGAGAGAGAGAATGAATTTACATATAATTTGAGTCCTTGGGGCACCTGGATGGCTCAGTAGTTGAGCGTCTGCCTTTGGCTCAGGGAGTCATCCCGGGGGGCTCCCCGTGGGGAGCATGTGTCTCCCTCTGTCTATGTCTCTGCCTCTCTGTGTGTCTCTTATGAATAAATAAATAAAATTTAAAAATTTTTTTGAGTCATTTATGTCCTTCCAGAAAATTGTTTTCTCTAAACTTTTCTTAGTTGCCATTAACCTGAAACTAGCCTTCTTTCCAGGATTTACATGTTATTTCAACAAACGGTCTCAATTCAGTAGCTAAGTCAGTGGTTCTTAACCTGAGTAGGCCACCCTCAACAGCAAGCATGCAAATCTCTTGCAGGGATCTATTTCCAGGTCTCTGGGTGGGACTCACAGCAGCAGAGAGCCACAATTTTCTGGGGGTGTTGCCTCACTCAGATTTACAAAGAATATTGGTGAGAAGCTACGAACTAGTGCCAGTGGCCCAGCTCTCCTGGTGGCAGCCATGGGCTGGCTCTGAGTCCTGGCCACATCCTTCGAGTGGGGCATATAGTCTGCGAGTGCCCACGGTCCTCACTCACTACTCACTGGCCCTTGCAGGCATCTGAGTAACTCCTGCCGGATCCTAACCCCAACTGGTATAGCCACACGAGACCATATGAAACAGCAGCTGCACACATGCATTTGAGCTTCAGAGAGGAATGTAGACCCTCTCTCGGGTAGAAGCAGAGTCCTCATTCTCACAGCGAAACAGGAGTTGCCTTCCTTCTTCTGGAAGGCTATGTGCACTTATAAGCCAACTGCAACCCTAAGTGGCTTCCAGACATCAAGCATTCAACCAGCAGATTCCGCTCCAATTTGGTACCTGAGTCAGCAGAGTATGAGGAGCCCCATCCCTTCCAGCAGGTGAGGGAGTCTGTCTACCATGAAGAGGTAATTTAGGAAGAAGGTATTTCAAGGGTGAGGCTCTAGGTAGGGTTGCCTGGATTCAAAAGCTACCTCCACCTATCTGTACCCTTGGCCATGTTGGTTAAGGTCTCCATACTTGGTGTGAACCCGGGATAACAATGATATTTATTTTCCGGGGACTGTCATGGGGTGGGAATTACATAAAACCTTTAAAAGAGCCGCCTGACACAGAGCAGACACCCAATAAATACTAGCTGTTATTATTAATTATTAATTATTGCTGGCTAGGGGCATCCCTATGTCTACTGAGCTGTAACTTTTCCCAGTAAACCCCACACACATTCCCACCTCTTGAACTTCGGTCTGGGTTTCCTGCATCAATTCCTTCCACTAAAGCAATAAGCCGTTCATTTATTTATCCACTGATTCACCAAGTATTTGTCAAGTATATCAGGTGCTGGATGAACAGAATCAGACATAGGGTCTGCCATTATGGGCTCCCAGGCTCGTTCGGAGGAGACGGTAAAGAAGCACAAACAAATGTACACTTCCGACCCCTGCAAAGAAGATTGTGGTGCTTCCAGAGTTTTAGCGAGGGGTTCACAGCTGGGCAGACAGGTGTGAGAGGCTTCCCTCAGAAGTGGAGTGTGAGCTAGGATCTGAAGGATGGGGAGCAAAACCTAGACAGAAGATACCTGGCTGGAACTCTACCCCAAGTGGAGCTAATCCACTGCCTGGGGTACCATTTCGACCCAGGTTGACACCTGGCTGACACCACCCCACTGCCACCTGCCTGGCTTCAAGCTCTGCCGCCACCTCCATTCCCTGTCCCCAGCCCAGACCCCCAGCCATGAGACCCTAGCCCCCATGGGAGGGAATTTAGTAGAGAGCTCATGAGTCAGTCTCTAAAGTTATAGAGTCTGAATTCAATCTCAGTTCTGTTACTTCCCACCCACATGGCCATGAGCAAGTTACTTACACTATATGACCCTCAACCTTCCCACCTGCAAAATGGAGCCAAGAGCTATCATGTGGAAGAGACACTACAGCAGAGTAGTATACACTGCACAGAAAGGCTGCCTGGCACTGAATCCCAACCCAACAACTTCCTAGCTGTGTAACTTTGGGCAGGTTACCTAAACCTTCAGCGCCCTCATCCTGAGAGTGGGAATGATGACGATAGCTCTGCATTCTCATGGGAAGTTAATGAGTTAATATTCGTAAGACAGTGCTCAGTAAATACTATGTGTCTGTTGAATATACTAAATAAATGCTCCTGCTTTCTAGGTTTGTGCAGATTAATGAAGTCATGATTATATGTTGTGCTGTAGCACAGTGTCCAGACGCCATAAATGTTAGAACTTAAGATGAAAACTCCATCTATGACCTTGGGCAAGTCACCCCAGGCTCTGGTCTCAGTTTCCTCTTCAGAAAACAATGGGGTGAACAGGGCATTCTCCAGGGGGCCTTCAGGGTCTGACAATCTTCAGAGTCGCCCTGCCTCTTCCTGTGGAGGTCGTCATGTGAATTCATTGCTTAGGGTGTACAGCAGGCTCTCAGGGACCAGACACACTGCCAACAGATCGCAGCCTGGTGTTATCAATAAATCCTCCATCACCCCCCAAACACACACTGGCATCCTGGCCCCTCACCGCCCCACCTCCCCGCAGGGTGCCATCAGTTCAAAGAGGGAGGAGCACCCCTCTTGCCCTGCTGAGTGAGGGCTGCCCCAAAAGCAAGACCAGGACACAGGGTTACTCAACGTGCAAAGGCGCTGTCAGTTTGATTTCTGGGTGCAGAGCATGGTGCCTAACTTCCTGACAGCTCCCTTGGCCGCAGAAGCCCTCGGCGTACCCAAGCCTGTGGTTCAAAGAAGCAAGAAGAACCTTCATGCAGAAGGACATGGGGGACACTGCCGAAGCCAATGCCTGCCGGGCCACCATCAGCCTCTGGGACTCTGGGTACCTCAAAACCATAGGGATTCTTACTCTAATGATCCTAATCACTAGAAATGAGGATCCTAAATCATTAGGTCTAGAGAGACAAGAAGCCGAACTGAGGAAGATGAGTTCTATATATGCTGGCCCTTCACCACTGGGACACCACTCTGCTCCACAAGGAGTTACAGAAGCTGTGATATGCCTGGCACAGCACTATGTTGCAGCGATCAGAGAACATATCCCGACCCCATCCGCACTGGGGTTTCATAGGTTCCAGCAGGGGATAATAATTATAGTTGACACTTGAACAATGTGGGGGCTAGGGGCACTAACCACCCACACAGTTGAAAATCCACATGTAACTTTTCCATCAGCAATAATCACGCCTCGGATAAACCTCATTGGCTATGATGCTGCCACTGCGCAAAGCTCACATGTAACTTTTGACTCCCCCAACACTTAACTATGAACAGCCTAGTGACCAAGAGCCTTACCAATAACATAAACAGCTGATTGACACGTACTTTGTATATGCGTTGTATTCTATAGTCTATGCTGCATTTTTAACAATAAAGTAAGCTACGGAAAAGAAAAGGTTATTTTAAAAAATCACAAGGAAGAGAAAATACATTTATGGTACTGAACCACCACCAAAAAAAAAAAAAAAAAAAAAATCCCTGTGTATGTATTCATGCAGTTCAAACCATGTCGTTCAAGGGTCAACAGTATCAGTATGAGTAGCAGCTAACATATGCCAGGCACTGTTCTAAGAACTTTACATATAATTAGCACATTTGACCCTCACTGATTGGGCAAAATATCTATTATTATTGGGGCACCTGGGTGGCTCAGTGGTTGAGTGTCTGCCTTTGGCTCAGGTCGTGGACCTGGGTTCCCGGGATCAAGTTCTGCATCAGGCTCCCTATGGGAAGCCTGCTTCTCCCTCTGCCTATGTCTCTGCCTCTCTCTCTGTGTCTCTCATGAATAAATAAAAAAAGTCTTTAAAAAAATATATATATATAGTCTCCATTTTACTGAGGAGAGAGACATTAAGTCACTGGCCCATGGTCACACAGCTAGTGATTTGGATGCAGAATCTGAGCTTTTGGTCACCACATAAGCCAATGTAAGATCACCCTGTGACATGTGACAGCAAAGAGAGGTATGTGGTGCTCTAAGAGTAAAAAACAGAAGGAATTAACCTGGTCATGGAGGTCTCAGGGAGGAGGTGATGGTCTGGAGAACAAGTTCCAAGTCACCCAGGGTTCTTAACCCTGGATGCACACTAAAGTCAATTGGGAGGTTTTGAATCAATCATAGATTCTGATTTATTTGTCTGGGATGGGCCCAAGAACCAGTGTTGGGTTTTATAGCTCCAAAGATGATTCAGATATGCAACCAGGGTGGAGCCTCACTCAACTCAGGGGAAGCAGGGGGAGGCAGTGGCCAGACATGGAGCAGCAAGTGCAACCACCTAGTGTAGGGGAGCAGGGAGGGCCAGAGGCTGCTAAGGAGGAAGCTCAGGGGCGAGGAAGGGTGTGGTCAGGGAGGCCTGGAGGGACGACAGGGCCACAGCATGCAGGGCCTACTCAGTAGTGACCCTATGGCTTCTCTTCCAAAGGAGACTCCATGAGAATGACAGCAATACAAAACCAAAGTGTTTGTGCCACCAGTGCAACAGAACCACCAGATCTGTCTATGGGCAAGCATGGGAAAGGAAGATGTGTGACATTCCAGCTTAACAGCCACGTCGCAGTATCGGCTTTGCCCCAAGAGTGAGCTGGAAGCTACCAACATGTTTCCAGCAAGGACGATGACATGATCATATCTAGTTGTTGGAAAGATGACTCCACTGCAATGTGGTTGTGACTGTCTGGTGAGACAGAGAGGAATCAGGGAATCAGAACAAGAAGCTACTGCTCCAGAGAGGATGAATGAAGCCTGGGCTGAGGTCCTGTCTCTGGGGATGGAGAGGAGTGGGTGGCAGTGTATCATGGTGGGTAAGAGCAGGCTTGGGAGCCAGACCACGTTCAAACTCAGACTCAGCTTCTTATTGGTCATGTGACCTGGCAAGTCAGCTAACTCTTCTGTAGGATGGGCATAGAAAGAGGATCTTTCTCATGGGGTGAGGTTTCAATGAGTTCGTGCACATAAATCACTTAGAACAGCACAGCATATGATAGGCATTATATAAATGTTAGCTATAAATACTAGCCAGGAGGTACAACAGGAGCTGACAATGGAGAGAACAGGAGGGTAGGACAGGTCTAGGAACACAGAAGAGGCCCCATGAGGAGTGCCTGGGTGGCTCAGGTGGTTAAGCATCTGCTTTCAGCTCAGGTCATGATCTCCAGGTCCTGGAATTGAGCCCCACGTTGGGCTCCTGGCTCAGCAGGGAGCCTATTTCTCCCTCTCCCTCTGCCTCTGCCTCTCCCCCTTGCTCATGCGCTCTCTCTCTCTCTGTCTCAAATGAATAAATTAAAAAAAAACTTTTAAAAAAAGATGAGGCCCCAAGAATGAAGCATGGTTCAGCAGGATTCTGGAAAATCACAGTTGAAGGGTGAAGAAGAGCCAAGAGAGAAAGTTGCATGAGGAAGGACTGAGGTGCAGAATTAAGGAGCAGAGCCTGGACCGGAAAGCCAGGATTATAAGCCAAGTCAAGTCCAAGATTCTGAGTCAAGCACTTACATAATATGCCAGGCGCTGTGTTAAGCTTTTTGCATACATTACCTTATTTAATACTTACAACTTGCTTTCATATAGCATGAAGTAGGCACATTACCCATCCTCATCTTGAAAATGTAGAAAGAGGGGCACAGCGAGAGTAAGGCACTTAGCCAGAGTCACAAAACTGAGCTTTGAACCCAGGCAGTCCAGCTCTGGAATCCACACTCCTTTATTATTATTATTATTATTATTATTATTATTTATTTGAGAGATAGAAAGAGCTTGAGCAGGAGGGACAGAGGGAGAGGGAGAGAGAATCTCAAGCAGACACCACGCTGAGCACAGAGCCTCATGAGGGGCTCAACCCCAGGACCCTGAGATCATGACCTAAGCTCAAAGCGAGAGTCAGCCGCTTAACCATCCAGGTGCCTCAGAGTCCACACTCTTAACATGCAAGACCACAAACCTGAGCTTGAACGTTTCACTCTGCCCTCACTCCCCAACTACCACTAAAAATGCCACACGCACACAAAAAAAGTTTAAAAATAGGAGAATCCATTTCAGACCAGAAGTCAGGGAAAGGTGCCAAGTAAATGCCAGAAACTCTTCAAATGTTTTTCAATATCTGGAAATGGAGAGACCTGAACTGGCCTGGCTCTCCCAATTTAAAAGAATTAGAATAACAAGGCCCGATGATGAGGGTAGCGGACCAAACACAGGAAGCCAAAGTGAGTCCTTGAAAGTGTCTGTGTAGTCCCTGACTGCAGAGGCACCTGATAATTATGCAGAATGATGAATGACCCCCTCTCAAAGCCTTCAGGAGAGACAAGTGGCTGCCAGACACACAGGCAGATCCCACTGGTCTTGGAGAGTGCTCGAACAGCAGAGGGCAGTGCAGCTGCTTCCCTACCAGGGTTGAGTCCAAACTTCCAGCAAGCGGTGTGCTCTACCCAACTGAAAGCTCCACCCAGCCGTCCTGGTCAAGGGACCTCTGCCTACTTTTGTGGCTCTCTGCTTTGGACTGCTGTGCCCTCTCTACTCCCCAAAGAAGGCTCATTTGATTAAACCCACATTTTTCTCTTCTCCCTTTATAAGAAGGGGGTGAGAGACCTTTCACAGACAGTTCCCACCTACAAATGTAGAGGTTTTAACCTGGTGGCACACAGAATGAACCCAGTCCAAAAATATGCTTAAAATACACCACAGCTATAATCTCAGGTTATTTGTCAACATCTAAATTTAGGAGATTCAGGTTTCTCTTGAAAAATGAAAAAATCTGGGGATCCCTGGGTGGCTCAGTGGTTTAACGCCTGCCTTCGGCCCAGGGCCTGAAGTTCTGAAGTCACTGGAGCCCTGGAATCAAGTCCCATGTCGGGCTTCTGCATGGAGCCTGCTTCTCCCTCTGCCTGTGTCTCTGCCTCTCTCCCTCTGTGTCGCTCATGAATAAATAAATGAAATCTTAAAAAAAAAAAAAAAGAAAGAAAGAAAAATGAAAAAATCTGGACCTTGGTCTTTTAAAAAGCAGGAATTTTTTTCAAAAAAGTGCACGGAGTAGCAGCTTCTCCTTTTAGATGGGGTGCTCTTACACCAGATGGACACTCCCTGTTATCACACACTTGACTTTACTTATCTGCCAGACCCCTCACTGGCTTTGAAGTTGGAAATCCTGGATAAATGGAATGGAATGCATCCTTCCAAAGTCATGTGGCCACAAACAAAACACTGAGGAAAGCAGAGGAAAAAGGAAAGAGAGGGGTCTGCTGTATAATTCTATTTGCATAGACTCCAAAAGAAGGCATGCTGTTTTCCACAATGGCTGCACCATTTTGCATTCCACCAACAGCATTCAAAGGTTCCTATTTCTCCATGTCCTCACAATACTTGCCGTCTTTTGGGTTTATTTTGATAATAGGGATCCTAATAAGTGTGAGATAGTATCTCATTGTGGGTTTGATTCACATTTCCTGACCATGAGTGATGTTGAGCAATTTTTTTTTTCAGTACCTCTTGGCCATTTGCAGGTCTTCTTTGGAGAAATGTCTACTCGGGTCCTTAGGCCGTTTGGAGGAGCTCAAAACATAAAAAATGGAGCCACCATGTGATCCAGCAACCCCACTTCTGGGTATTTATCCAAAAGAAATAAAGTCAGAATCTCAAAACAGGTACCCTATGTTCACTACAACATTATTCACAATAACCAAGATGTGGAAGCAGCCTAAATGTCCTTCAACAGATGATTGAATAAAGAAAATGTGGTATTGGAATATCATTCAGGCTTTCAAAAAGAAGGAAATATTACAATATGGGGCAGAGGTGAACTGTAAGGACATCATGTCAAGTGAACTAAGCCAGACACAGCAAGACAAATATTGCATAATTCCACTTAGATGAGACGTCTAAAACAGTCAAACTCCTAGAACCAAAGATTGGAATGGTGTTTGTCAGATGCTAGAGAGAGGGGGAAAGGAAGAGTCACTAATCAATCGGCATCAAGTTTCAGTTAAACAACATGAATAAGCTCTAGGGATCTGCACAATATTGTGCTTGTAGTCAATAGTACTGTATTGTGTACTCAAAAGCATGTTAAGAAGGGGGGCACCTGGGTGGCTCAGTGGGTTGAGTGTCCAACTCTTGATTTCAGCTCAGGTCATGATCTCAGGGTCATAAGATCAAGCCCCACCTCAGGTTCTGTGCTCAGTGCAGAATGCTTGGGGTTCTCTCCCTCTCCCTCTGCCCCTCCCCCCACTCTGCTTTCAATCAATCA